GAGATAGCAAGAGCTTCTATTCGGAATGTGCCAATGTTAAAAGTATACCTTTCAATGGGTTACCTCCCTCGTGTACTTTCTACGCCATTTGTTTATTTTCTGCGTTGCTTGCAGCGTACGACTGGGTTGAAAGAGATGAATGCAGTTCGTCATACTTACGTAGTATACACCTACGTATGTGTAACGCGCGTGTATATGTAGATATGGTATATATATATATATATATATATATATCTTAAGGATAGCTATCTATTTTTTTATAATAATTGAACTTCTGATACTTTGTAAAACGCTCATTTTTTCTTTTTCAAATAAATTTCATATAGCGTAAAATTTATAATAAGTAAATATAAATACACTTTGATATTTTTAATCCAATTATATATTGATTAAAAATTATACTTGTACTTGAAAATATACATGCTTTAATTATAGAATCGATTAAAGTATGTAATTATTATAATATTATAACTATATTAATCGTAATCATATGAATTATACATATTTCGATTATATTGATTAAAGCATGTATTTATTATATACGTATAATTTTACAATACTAAATATAAATTATATTATTAGCAAACGTTAATCTTTGATATAATATAAAATGATATCAAATTTAGACGGATTAACGGCAATAAGCTATGTTATTATCGGTTTACGCTGCAATATACATTTACATTTAGCAAAGCCACAATTACCATCACAATCATTCAACCCATCGGCTATAAATATCTTCACTCGAAAGATCTCTCATTCCTTACATTCTCTGCATCGTGATTAAGATATTTACGTTTTCAGAAGATTTTGCGTACAAATATTTGTACAATAAGGTTTAACGTATTGTCAAAGAGATTTGTAAAGCTATCGCTCGTAAAAGAAACTCCCAATGAACGTGCGGTGCTATGAATTCATTTCCGTTTCGAATTACGCCATCGTGAGAGTAAGAAAGAGAGAGAGAGAGAGAGAGAGAGAGAGAGAGAGAGAGAGAGAGAGAGAAAGAGAGAGAGAGAGAGAGAGAGGGAAAGGGAGAGAGAGAGAGATAGTAACGGGCTAGATGCCAATTGGTCGAGACTCTAACAGAAATTTCGATGATAGGGATCATCGTCAGACAAAATAGCGATTTCTTTTTGTTGCTCAAAAGAAATTGATTACAGGTTTTTTTTTTTCTGTCATCTATTCCCTATCCTTTTCTTTCTTCTTTCCTTTTTTTCTTTTTTTTTTTTTTCTAATCACAACGTCTAACGTTCTTTTTTTTATTTCTTTTATTACTTCGAAAGATTCGTGCGACTATCTTTCTTACGAAATTTTTTTTATCAATGAGAAAAATAACGTTCGTATACAAAAAATCATATAAATATGAGAAAAAAGTAATCATAAAATAATTATAATATAAATAAATCAAATGTAATATATATAAAAAAGTTCATATAAAAAGTCTGCTTCTTCTTTCGTTTTTCTTTTTTTCTTCTTTTGTTTTTTTTCTTTCTCATCCACTTTAGTTTGAAAGTTTATCCTACAGATCGATAAGAAAGAAAAGATATCCAAAGGAAATTGTTGAAATTAAGATTTAACGTTAAAAGCCATTATGATCAGATCGGGATATTACAAAGTTCATCCAATGAGATCTTTCTATTCCCTGTTGTAATCCCCAATTACGGAGCTTTATCAGATGTTTTTTTTTCTCATTCGAACTTTTTTCTCGATATTCTTAACACCTTTTCGTATGATTTTTCTTTTCTTCTTTTTTTTTTTCTTTTTTCGTTTTTTTTACTATTTTTAATTTACATTTGGATATAACAAAAGTATCCTTCTCTCTATAATTAATAAAATAATTTAACGATATGACATCTTTTATCGATCGATAAATAATTTGTAATACATATGTACATTAGAATTTGATACCTTTATTGTATCGAAAAAATAAATCACTTTGTCGATCGTTGAAAAGGACATTTTATACTCGAAGTAGATAATTTTAGATCGAACTGAACTATCTATTGGAACTTTTACGTTGGTCTCTTGACTTTGAAGAAGAACGATTCTCGAGCACGACGCTCGTCTCGTTACTTTTACGCTCTTCACTTTCTTTTCCTTCCTATTTTTCTTTCTTCCACTTTTACTTTTTATTTTTTTTCCTCACTTTTTAAAATATGAGGAAGAAAATATACAAGGAAGAAAATATAAGGTTAAAGGAGTAAAAAAAGGTTTTAACAAAGATTCAATCGAAATCGAAAACTTCATTTACGAATAAAGCGAGTAAATCCGTATAAAAAATAATCTATTATGATATTTTCCTTCCTTCCTTTCTTTTTTTTTTTTTTTTTTTCCCCTTCAAAGATATCTCCAAAAATTTTGTATTACTATTCGAAGCCATATTTATGCCTACGATTAAAGAATACTACTATATATTGTATTATATTTCTCGTTCACTGATTTCTTTAACGATATTAATATTATATTTTAATTCATTCTTAGACATTAATAGTACTACTATATGATAACAAATTTGTTCTCTCTTTCTTTCTCATATGTATATATGTACTTACGTACGTATAGATAAAGTACACACACACACACACACACACACACATATATATATATATACATATATATATATATAGATAATTGATTCCTTTAATATTGATTTCACGTATTAATTAATTCTTAGATGTTAGTAGTATTACGATGCAATTACAAATTAATTCTCTCTTTCTTTCTCATAAGTAATACTTATATATATATATATATATATATATATATATATATATATATATATATACCTGCTACATAGTTGCTTCCTTTGATGTCACATTGATGTCACATTGTAATTAATCGTTAAACGTCAATGGTACTACGCGATACAATCAGAAATTTACTCTCTCTCTCTTACTGTCTCTCTTTCCTTCTGATGCACATGTATTTACATAAGTAGATAATGTACATATATATATATATATATATATATATATATATATATATACGTATATTATATGCACATAGTTGATTCATTTAATATTGATGTCACATAATAATTAATTATTAGACATTAGTAGTACTGCGATGCAATCACAAATTGACTGTCTATCTCTCTCTCTCTCTCTCCCTTTCTCTCCCTCCCTCCTCTCTCTCTCTCTCTCTCTCTCTCTCTCTCTCTCTCTCTCTCTCTCTCTTTCTCTTTTTTTCTTTCTCATATGTACCTACATACGTAAGCAATGTACATTTATGTATATGTATATGTATATGTGCGCATAGTTGAATCCTTTGATATTGATGTCATTTTGTATTTAATCGTTAAACGTCAGTAGTACTAGGATACAATCAGAAATTTACTTGTTATTTCTTTCTTATATTTATATCTATGTATATATATATATATATATATATAATACATAGAAAGTATGTATATATGTACATACATATGTATATCTATGTATGAAACCGATTTCGATATCGCATTGATTCCTGCGTTAGGTATCGTTACGGAAATGCAAAGCATTTCTGTAGAAGCAAATCCGTCCGAGTTATACGAGCCAGACCATTCGAGGGTTTAAAGCATAGCTTTCGAACCACATACGTAATGTTCTCGAGATGGATTTGTCTAATATATTTCGAGTAAATGACCCGTTAAAATGATTCTTTTATGTAAATACATCTATTCCAATTTCGTTTTATTTATTCCGAGAAAGTCATGAATCGATTATCAATAACATGTGTTTTATTCATTAATTTGTATGTTTCTCTCTTTCTCTCCCTCTCTCTTTGTTATTCACTATAAAATCGTATGCTTCATTGAATTTCTAACGAAGTACGGTTGTTGTTGAAAATGTGGAAAGTAATTATTTATATATGTACAAGCGATAGAATTTTTACGATGTAAATACAAGAGTGAGAGAGAGAGAGAGAGAGAGACAGGGAGACAGAGAGACAGAGAGCTAGAGAGAGAGAGAGAGAGTGAGAGAGAGATTAAAGCTATTCTCAACATAGTAGCATTCTAGAGAAACCTAATCTCACTTTGATATCAAATGAAATAACATTATCGACTACTTTGTAATGTGAAATTTCTCGCTTGGTTTTGTTTGAATTTGGTTTGTTCTATTATGTTTTAGAATCGTGTTGAAGAACAATGTTTCACGTTCGAGGAACAATAGTATTTTAAGGAATAACTTGGAGAGTTTACGAATTGATTTATCCTATTGAATCTAAGAGAATCGTGAATGTATATAGTACTCATTTGAATGAACAAATCATTACAAACCATAATGTGAGAAACGTGACGCCAAAGTTGTGTCGAATTAAAGCCGAGATCTCTCATTGATGTTCTGTACTCTGTTTTCTTGTTTCAAGTACGGCCACTCTTCTATTATCACGGTTTTTTTTTTGTATTTATGCTTTTCGTATTTTTCTTTCTATTTAACTTGTTTCTTTTTTTTTTCTTTTTTCTTTTTCATTTTTCTTTCCTCTTACCCTTTTTCATTCTTACTTCAAGAATGTCGCGACCAGAGACGTAGTTATAGTCGATGCGCGAGTCGCCTCGTCATTACTTTTTCCTTTTTTTTTTTTTTTATGTTATTTTCTTTCTTCTTTTGACTCTAACGTGATGTAATTTTCAAGTCATATACTTGTATACATAAATACGTGTATATGCGTATTCTTGAAGTTTCATTTCAGTTTCGTTACGAAAAAAATTAATTTTTTTATACACACTCGATGTACTTAGTATATGTTATACTTAATATAATATAGTTATTTTAATATATATATATATATATATATATATATATATATATATGTAAGTTGTAAAACGATTTATATTATAATTTACAATTGTAATGTAAATTTTGCGTTAATATAAATCAAACTTGTAATAGAAGTTTCATTTAATAATACGAAATAAGTGCGATTTGTATAGTATAAGTACCATGTTGTATAAATTTTTTTTCGCGAAAAAATAAGATCATAGAAAATTAATCCATAATAAATATTCTTTATCATAGAGATATTTTTTAATCTAATAATTGAAAATGCATCGATGCGTGTCGTGGATCGTGGATTAAAATATTATTATTTTTTTTTTTTTTTTTTTTTTAAATACATCGAAGAATTTTCTATAAGATACATTATAACTATCGTACATTAAATGAAACGATGTCGAAACAACGAGAAAAACTTTTTGTTCGGTGATTTTGATCTTTGTGTTTAAATAATCGGGAATGTTAGACAAAAAAAAATAGAAAACAATTATTTCGTTGGTCGATCTAATTTATTTCCAAAGTGTCGCGAATAGTGAAAATTAATCGCAATGACGTTCAATGTGACAAATGGTACGATCAAGTTTCCCGATTATGATTGGAATGAGTCCTTCAGCAAATTCAGATGGAAGGAATTGGCTCCTGTTCTCGTTGTCTATTCGTCAACCTTTTTCCTTGGATTAATAGGTGAGTGTTAATTAAAATCAAATTATTAACAAGTCCCATTGGAAATTTCAATTAAAATATTCATTACTTCGGAGATTAAGATTAAATAAAAAAGTAATTTTGTATCTCTTATTATTAGAGAAACAAAGGGTAAAAGAAGAGGAAAAAGAAAAAGAAAAAGATAATAAATTATGTGAGAAGAGAGAAAAATTTTAATATAATTTTCAATCTTACAAATTTTCCAAATGTAAGATAAACTTTCTTGAATTAATTAACGACAAATCATATAAGTCGAGTACATTCTCGTTCTATCATAATTAATGAGAAAATTTATAATAAATTAATAAGAACGAAGATAAGAAAAATTTCGCTTATTCATTTTCACTTAATAAATATTGAATTTCGTTCGAAACGTATATATATATCATAGTTATTAGATAATTTCGTTTAATCAGATTTTAAATAGAGTCTCGATAAGTATCGTTAATTAAGATTAATCATACAAATGATTAATACCATTATCGAAGTTAATTTTTTGATAATAAAATTATTAGATCATAAATAATTATTATATCCCAATGATATATATTATTACGTGAATTTCATAGTAAATGAGACGTTGATAATGAACTTCGGTATTTCGTACACGTTGTTTCGATAACGTTTCTATGCTGTATCATTATTTTCATTGAACTTGCTACAACGTAGAAGTAATAGCATTGGTAGTAACTATAACTTTAGTGATTTAAATGTGAGATATTAAAGTTGCCATTTCATATTAATTCATATTCGCCAAGATAAATTTCTCTTGTAAATATTAATGAAACAGACGCTCGTATAATAATATTTAAAGCTCATAATCGGCAATACAATAATTTTGTTTTTCTTTTTTTCAGGAAATGTGGTCATTATTGCCTCAACCCTTTGTCCAAGACTAAGACCATTACCTGCAACCCCTACAAATGTTTTTCTCGGTGGTTTGGCTACGGCTGATCTATTATTGATCATCTTCTGTATACCTGTGAAGGTAATCTTAAGATAATATAATATTGTATTTTCGTTTATAAAATCATTTCTTTATAAAGAAAAAAAATAAAAAAAATAATTGGATTATTTTTATTTTATAATTCTTAATGATCTACACAGAAAAAGAGTGAGAGAGAGAGAGAGAGAGAGAGAGAGAGAGAGAGAGACAGGAAGATTACTGATAATCAATATATTGTTAATAAAGTTTTAATTTTCAAAAGATTTTCGTTCATGATCTAATTTCGCAGGTAAGTACCATTTACCTAGCACGAGAATTCCCGTGAATGTTTGACACTTGACACCATGAGTACGTTATTAAATTTGACAGGACGCACTGGTGCGATCCGATGCCAAAGGACGTTGTTATGAGTTTTAATTATACTGAAAGATCACCTCACGTGAGCTGGTACTTTTCGTGAAAATATTAAATCTCTAAATTTCATACGGGTTTAAACAAAGAGAAAATTTTTTGAACTTTTTTTTCATTTAAAAATATACAAATTCGTTTTAAACGATCCATTGTATTTTTAACAATGAATTAAATAATTTTTTTTTTTTTTTTTTTTTTGTTATTGTTCAGTTAGTTACGAATGAGAATAATATTGAGAATGTTAAATAATAAATATAATGATATCTAGAGTGGTGATTATAAAAATTAAAAAGAAATTTTTATTGATTTCCTTCGATGTGAAAATTGCTTAAACGAATTTTTTTTCCTTTTTTTTTTTTCTTTTTTGATTACTAAGTATTGTTTAGATATTTAGAGTCGCGAATGAAAATAAAATCGAACTCTGTCAAGTTATAAAAAGTTATTTGTACATTGAAGAATCGATTTTACTTGTAACACCTATGAATTATTTCGTTTTTGTCGACGTTACATGTCTTGGCAATTTCGTAATTTTTTTCTCTTTTTCCGTGTAACTTTCTTTATCCGTGTATCTGCTTCAGTATTGTGACTTTTTTCAGTTCAAATTTTTTTTATGCTCACGTCTGAGTTCCAATGAAATAGCAATTCTGTATCTCTTGATAGGATATAGTTCTTCTTCGTTGAATGTGTTTAATGAAGTTGAATGAAGTTAGTTGAAGAAAGTGTTAACTTAATATGTACAAAAAACACATTTTTTTTGTACACACAAACATATATATATATATATATATAAACTAATGAACATACTTATGTATCTATGTATGTATGTATGTATGGATATATATTTGTAGATATATATTATACATATGCACGAGGATAATTCAAAAAAATTTGTGACTATTTCTGTTTTCTTTATGCTTATATATATATATTCTTAAAGTGAATATTACATCTTGAAAAAAAGAAGTTGCATAAATTGTATTGAAATATGGGACAAGTGTATACATAGGGTGTCTCGAGAGAAACGACAAATTTTGGAATATAAATACTTGTAAGAAGATAATATAGGATAATAAATTTATTTATGAAATTTAATATCAGATAATATGTCATTTGAAATCAAAATATTTCAAATTTATTTCTTGAATGTGACATTTAGCAAATGAGCTAAATCCTTCGAATAACGAATACATTTCTGCAATCTCATAGTGATTTTCTCTTCTGATCTATCGACGTGTAATTTTTTTTCCTTTTTTTTTTTTTTTATTTACATTAGTGCATCTTAATAGCAAGATGCATCGCAGTCATGCACTTTGTTACGATCTAAGAACAGGAAGACAAATTCCGAGAGAAAATCATCAACATTCTTGTTGAAATGTTAAACCATACAAAATGTCATTAAGAGATTGTAGGAAATATTTATGCTGAGATATAGCTTTAAGTAATAAATTTGAAATATGTTTATTTTTATTGAATAAATTAATACGAATAAATTTAGATATTATAAAATATAATTTTGTTTTTTTTTTCTTTTTTTTTTTTTTTTTAACATTTCTAATTTCAACAATTCAATCAATTTCCCTGAGACATTTTATATATTTAGGTATTTACATTTACTTTACATTGTAGATCATAATGTACGTGACATTTTTTTCAAAAAGATTTTTTTCTTTTAGTTTCTTTCAATCTTATAAAGATTTTCGTTTAACGAAGAAAACGTCATAAGTTTTTTTATTTTATTGCCATTCTTGTCAGTCGTGGAACAATCTTCTTCTACTTCTACTTTTTCTTCTTCTTTGTCGACTTGTGTACAACGTTAAACTTTTAAAGTAACGTGAAATATTTGCGAAAGAAGGTTGAAAGAATGGTTATTCGTTTAAGAAGATGGGAATAAGAATGAGGAAAGGAATAAGAAGAAAAATAAAATGGAAAGGAAAAAAGAAAAAAAAAAAAAAGAGAACATGAGAGAACGTGATTTGGCATTATTTCGAAGGTAATCTTTGTTATTCGATCGATAATAAATATGTTAATTTAAATAGATATTTTATCGTAATAAGCAATCAATTAAGGATGTCTCATCGTTTCTCATTATTCTGGGGTTTAAGGATTATCGTTTAAATCTTTTCGACGGAACGGAGCTTTTGAAATAAGTCAATTCGATGCTACTATTATTATTTTCTTTTTTCTTTTTTTTTCTCGAGTAAGTACTTAGAGGGTGTCAAGAACGTAGACAAGACGGTGAATTACGTTTCCGTAAAAGGGGTGTCATTTGATTTATGTAAAGGAAGCGAAGGAACTTATACATCAACCGTTCTCATGGATCTCTCTCTCTTTCTCTCTCTCTCTCTCTCTCACTCTCTCTCTTTCTCTTTCTCTTTCTCTTTCTCTTTCTCTGTCCCTATCTAATACCCTCTCTATTCCGTTCCGCATCACCATTTCATATCGCATTAGCTTTCGACAATTCCGCTGTAAATCCTTTGCCGAGGCAACGTGAATTTTCTCATTTCGTGTTCTTCATTGAACGAAATTATCAAAGGCTTGAATCGCATGATTTTAGAACGAATAGAAAGGAGATTAAGGAGCGCTTCATTGAATGGTACGATATCATTGATAGATCCTCAATATATTTCGATTAACTTATCTATCATTTGTAAATGAAAATTTTAACCCAGTTTTAAAGACGAGTTAATAGATAAGTTTCCAATGGAAAATATCGATTGACTTTTTTTTTTTGTTTTTTATGCTTTTTGCACATATCCTTGACAATTTGATAATCGAGTATCCTTGAAAATGTTATAAACGGATTCTATACGAGGCGTCATATCTTTTCAGCTGGAAATATATATATATATATATATATATATATATATATATATATATAATTTTTTGTTTATGTTTTTTTCGTTGATGGAAAAAATCACTTGTAAATATTATTTCTTTTCTTTTTTTTTTCCTTTTTCTTTTTCTCTCTTTTTTTTTTTGTCGTTCGATATCGCATATCAATTACAATGGAACATTGTCGGCAGAATGAAAAAAAAAAAAAAAAAAAGAAAGAAAAATTTCATCTTGTTCAATGAATATTTCGTATAAATATTATTACGAGGAGATATTAAAGAGAGAAAACTATGAAAATATTGAATCAAAAGTCGAAGAAAACGGGATGTCTCTTTTGAGGATCATTAATTCATCCCTCGAAGGCATCGTACGTTACATTGCGGTGGTGACGGAATTTCAATTATTCGCCTCTCCCTTCGTATGTCTCTTCTTGTATTTCTCATTGACAGAGTTATAAACCGTGTAACGCGATCTCTCCCTCCTTCCCTCTCTCCCTCCTTCTCCTTTCCTTTCTTTTTCTTTTTCTTTCTCTTTCTCAAAAAAAAAAAAGATTTCCTATATTTAAAATTAGATCACGTCAGAAATATATACCATTGCATATAATAATAATATTTATTATTATTATTATTATTATTATTATTATTATTATTATTATTATTATTATTATTATTATTTTGTTTTAAAGATATCTTTGTATGTTATTTTTTCTTGTCTTTCTTTTTTTTTTTTTTATTTTTCTTGACGATATATATAACAAACGTATATAACAAAATATTAGGAGAAAAAAATGTCATATATAAAAGGTTAGAATTTGAGCACCACTGTTCACGTAAGCGATCCTTCGCGTTATGTTTTATTGAATGATTGGCCGTACACTTTGTTAGTCGACGAATCATCGAGAAACTCGTACGATGCGAAATGTGTCGTTTGGTGTTGAACGATAAGTAATTCCGTCAGTGGTAAAAGAGTAATGCTCGTTAATGTAATTTTCTTCAATTGCGACCATATTTATTGATTCAATTAATTTTCATCCATGTTTCTAATAATGTTTGCTTTTACTTTTCTTTTCCTATCACTCTTTCTCTCTCTTTTTCTCTCTCTCATTTTCTCTCTCTCTCTCTCTCTCTCTCTCTCTCTCTCTCTCTCTATTTTTTTCTCTGCTACTGTCTCTATTACTATATCCATCTCTGACTCTATCTTCGTTTAAATTTTCGCCTTCTTTTTCTTTCTTTTTTCTTTTTTTTTTTTTTTTGTTTTTTCATTGATACGTTTTATACAAAATAGTATACGATCTATTATTTTGTTGAATACCTCATCCAACATATTTGAAAGTCCAATTTACCTTTCTTTTTTTTCTTTTTTTTTTTTTTTTCTTCCCATCAATGCTCTTTGCCTTCTTATAGAACTGCATTTCGTAGAGCTTTCCTTAAACGAAATCCTCACGTTTCTCATTTCGTATAAATCAAATTTATTATTTTTTAATTAGACTTTGAGAAAAGTGGATCTCCACTACTATCATAACAAATGATATTGCAATTTCATTTAAACTTACATTAACCAAGATACACATATAAGGATATTTTTAAATCTACCTTGTAAATTGCTCGTAAGTAAAAAGTTCACATTAAATGATAAACAAATTAATTTTTAACTTGTTTTTTCTTCTCTTCCTTCTTCTTTTCTTTTCTTTTCTTTTCTTTTCTTTTTTTTTTTTTCAAATAATGGAGTTACATCACTTTATCGTAATAAAACGATTCAATTTGTAATTCACAATTTAGAAATCACGAATCACGAACTTA